CTGCACAGACAAGGCACCATCATTCCATCCCCTGGGATTTATGTGCTTCCTCATCCTGGTTTCCTCTACTTCATGAGTTTTCTTTTCCCTTCTGCTACCTTCTAGTGTAAAGTAAAGGGTTTAATCTTTGCAACCCAGAAGCAGGAGTTTTAAGGAAGAACCCAGTGTGCTGTGATGTCTGCCAGACTGAGCAGAACGTTGGGACATTAAGGGTGAGTTAGTTCCCTTACCCATCCTTAACCATTCAATATGATAACAATACCTCATGTTCTGTTCATTAGCAGCTCTTTGAGGTTAAATGTGATCCCATGTGCCTAAATGCCTTGTCATCTCAGTTGGATGGAAGGATCAAGGCACTGTGAAGTGAGTATGTTACATCAGCTATCCCAGATCTCTCTGGTCGGTGTTAGTGCTACTCAGATATCGTGATTGCCTTCAAGTCTAACCCTATTTGATGTTACTGCAATTATAGTTCCTTCACAATCACCATTGTAAGAACAGAATCTACAATACATTTACTCTGTGTCTATAGAGGACCACATCACATCACTTATACTTTTTGCTTCAAACATCACACAGAACTGAGAGATATTAAAAGGAAAAGGAAACGTATATATTTTAATCATATTCTGCATTGATATTCTTCTTCTTTCTTCCAGATATTTCTGATTCCTCTAAGATTTGTTTGTTTTAGAAATTTCCTTTAGCCCTTTTTAGCAGCATGTCTCATATTGATAAACAATTACGTTTACTTTTGATGATGGTTTTTTATCCCCAAGATAATCCAGCAGAATAATTTATGTAGACATAGAGATTCAGGTTTGATAATTGCTTTTATTCAGCACTATAATAAATAGTGTGCTTTATCCCTTGGACTGCATGCCTCATTATAATTACGTGGCTCTCTTTTTGTCTACCAGAAACAGAATTCCTTCAACATGATCTCAAGGTTTTTTCTTTTTTCTTTTCTGAAGTTTGACTATATCAATCATTTCATGTATCTTGGGTTCATATGCTTCCTGGTTTACTCAACATTGTTTTAGAAATAGATTTTTTCCTTTGTGCTTTCATCTACAAGTTGTTGCATCTTCTGTTTTCATGGCCCACATATTTCACTGCCCTCTCTTTTCCTTCCTCTTTTAAGCTCCTGTTCGTCTCCTCATGGTCTGTTTTCTAGTTTTATGACCTGCAAGCATGACCACACACAGCCACACTCACAAACGAATTCAACTCTAGATTCGATATCTGAGAGAAAACTTGGGTCTTTTATCCTTACTTAGTCTGCATTGTTTTACAGACCTTCTGGAAAACTTGGGTCTTCTCCTACATTAATGGATGCATAGAGGTCACCATTCTTGGAATATTTTTGTCTTTTCTGCTAAGCCGTGGTTTCTATTGCTGTGAAAGAGGCCTTTCAGTGCATCAGTGCCTAGATACATATGTGCCTCCCAAAACCAGTTTGTGATGATTGGTTCTCTCCTTCCACCTCATGGGTCTTGGGAATTGAACTCAGCAGGCAGGCATAAGTATATGTGCCTTTCTTTTACCAATTGAACTACCTGCAAATTGCAACATTTTAATCCATACATGCATTTGTGTACAAATTTAACAGTCTCATGTGGAGTTAGTGTTGGCGAATGTTCCATATTCGTCTGGAGAGTGGGTAGGTTGTCTTCTATCAAGTTTCAGAAGTCCATAGAGCTACAGGAAAATTAGCTTTCATAAATCTTTTCAATGTATTATTTCCCATATGATTATTGTTGCATCGAAAACAGTGTGTTCCAATCTACTATTGTTCCTGAGCTTTTCCTTATCCATTGCATTACTCAGATCTCACTAAAGCAGTGGTTCTCAGTCTTCCCAATGTTGTGATCCTTTAATCCGGTTTGTCATATTGTGGTGACCTACGACTACAAAATTATTTAATTGCTACTCATAACTGTAATTTTGCTATTTTTATGGACCACAATGTAAATATCTGTGTTTATTTATAGTCTTATCTGATCCCTGTGAAAGGGGTCAAACTCAAAGGTTGAGAACCACTGATCTAAAGGAATATAATTGGTAGAATGTGCCTCCCAAAACCAACAATGGCTCTGTCTGGCAGAAAAGCCATAAATGGTAGTTGTTCAGTCAACAAGACTGGATGTCTCAGCAGTCCCAGTTTGGCACTGGAGATCTAGAGGATTCTTAGGGACCTGCTACTTTTCTTCAGTCACTATTGGAGTCCCAAAAATGTAGGTTCTAACTCCAACAAAGGGATGCCTCAGAAGCAGGGTAGATGACATTGCTGATAAGAATGAGAGCAAGCAAAAATAAAAACTTTCCTCTTCCACGTCCTTTGATGTGGACTTCCAACAGAGATGATGATTAGGGTGAATATTCTCACCTCACATGATCCAATCAAGAAAATCTCTCACAGGAGAGTCCAGATACTTGAGTTTTAGTTGATTTCAGATGTAGTCTTAGTGACAACCAAGATTAGCCATCACATTCCTCAAAAAAATGCCACATTATTGGTATATTTCTTGAAAAAGTAACATTTTGCCACTAAAGTTGAGCCCATAGAATTATTGTGGGTTTCAAAAATATCTCTTAATTGCATATTCTTTTAAGCATTTCTCAAATATCAGAATTTTTATCTCAGGTTACCTTTTATTTGTAATTGGCTATTATTTTTTGTTCATTTCTAAGTGTTCAGTGTAACATTTAAGGGATATGTGCTTAAAAGTCAGTATTTTAAGATTTTATCTTTTTTTCTGTCAATTATGTTTTATTTTATTTTATTTTTTATTTTTTATTGAAAAAAATTTCCGCCTCCTCCCTGCCTCCCATTTCCCTCTACCTCCTCCCACTCCTCTCCCCCTCCACCCACTCCTCTCCCCCTCCCTCTCCAGTCTGAAGAGCAGTCAGTGTTCCCTGCCCTGTGGAAAGTCCAAAGTCCTCCCCCCTCCATCCTGGTCTAGGATCATTGGGCTACCAGGCGACCCTGTTTATGTGCTGAGGAGTTCCATCTGGACGGGTGAGTGTGTGCTATCCAGGGGCAGATTGTCCAGGAAAAGAGCACAAACCCCCCTCCCCCAGCTCCTTCTGCAGGGCTGTCTTTCTTACACACGGCCTCCCCCCAAAGCCTGCGTTTTCTGAAAGGTTCTTTGCTCAGGAACAGTTTTCTGCTCCTACATTAAGGCTACCCACCCAGAGAGGTGAGTGTCTGCCAACCGGGCAGGCCTCAAGGACCCCCCGAAAGGGAGCACGTGCACCTTCAGCTTGTTGGCATGGTGTCCTGTGTTCTACTTGTCCCCGCCCTGCCCCCCAAGACCCCCCTTTTGTCCGCGGGTCATTGGACTACCAGGCGTCCATGTTTTGGTGTTAAGATTTTATCTTAACAGGTAACCTGAAGAGTATTTTTCTTTGCTTGATGTATTCATATACATTTACATTTATTATGAAATCAATACTCTTGGTCACTTAGAATCATCTCTATTCTATTACATGAAAAGCCATAGGTAGCACTTACCTTAATGATGTCTGTGAGATGTTCTGTATCCTAGATACAAGGATTCATTAATCTGGTGCATGGTTTTCAAACTTGTATTCCCCATCAGGGCATTGTCTTCATTTATCAACCATTACGTGGAAGAGCATACAGCTGACACTTGATGGACGTCCTAACAACAAGCTTCTCAACTTATAAAAAGAGGTTTGTTATATCTAAGAAGTTTGGTTTTTATTGCTTTTATTGAGCTATACATTTAGCTCTGCTTTCCTACCTTCCTATACTCTCCCCTTCCTCCTCTCCTTTGACCCCCCCCCCCCATGGCCAGTTTTCTCAGGAATTCTTGTCTTTTTCTCCTTCCTATGTAGACCAGCAATGTCTCTCTTTCTTGTCTAGGTTGTCTGGGGTTGTGGAAAGTAGGCTGGTTTTTCTTTGCTTTTTATCCAAAAGTCACTCATGAGAGAGTACATATTACATTTGTTTTTCTGGGTCTGGGTAAGAAGTTTGTTTTGAATCCATGTTCCTGAGCTTGAAGGTATTTAGGTTGTTCCTCAGTCTGTTCCTCACTGCCTTCACATCCTTCATTGCACCGTTTATCATAGCTAGTTCTGTTGCTCTTTCTCTCCCATTTCTCCACCACACATTTTGCTCACCATAATGGCTTCCTGGAAGTAGCGGGTCGACCTGTGAATGTCTTCCCCAGCCCAGGCTTTGACAATGCAGGCTTGCCTGTGGGTGTGTGGCACCTGCCTGAACAGAATGGTGTCAGGCAGCCTGGGGATATCTTCCCGGCACCCAATGACTGCAATGTTTTAAAAATTGTGTGTATATTGTAAGCATTGCTGCTCAGATGGAAAGGGATCCTGGCAGTCAGGAGCCAAGGAATACCACAAATTCACCTTAAACTTAGAAGCTCACAGCCCTGCTTCAGGGAAAGCTTTTCCCAAATTAACAGCTCTGCTCTGGTAGGGGAGGGTTTCCCTAGCCAAGTTGTTACAGCTCTGCTCAGATCCTCAGAAGAGTAACAACTCTACTCTGCTAGGAGAAGCTTTTCCAGTTCTGCTCCCCTCTCCTCCACTCGTCTCCAGTTGAAGTCATTGCTTCTCTGTTCTTCTTAGGCAAAGAAGGTCTCACCCAAGCCTCATTCAAGAGATTCACTGGGAGGGAAGAGTCCAGGAGGTGGCTGACCCTGCAAAAGTGGGAAAGGCAGCTCCCAACTGAACAGGTACAGGGTGGTTTCATGCTCAATGATCTGCTGGTTTTCCTGCTCTGGGATTGGTTCCTTTTATGCTGAGATATTGGTTAGTTTGTTTTGCGGAATTGGTAAGTGGAAGAGTGTGTTTCTGTAGCTTTGGTTTCAGGGGCAAATGTGTTTATTTCACTGGCCTTTTTTAAACGTTGGACTCTGGTTTCAGGGCCAGTGAACTGATTCTAGTCTCAGGGTCAGTGTATGTTTCTTTTGCTCTGGTTTCAGGATTAGGGTGTGCTGCTTTGGACAGAAACGGGTGTTGCTCCCCTAGAAACAGATATGCAGTCCATTGTGGGCCAGCAAGTGAGTGCTGAGAACCCAGTCCGGGTCTTCTGTAAGAGCAGCAAGTCCTCTTAACCATGGGGCCATCTCTGCAGTCCAAGTCATCAAATATTAAACGTAATTACTATTTTTCTACTTTTCCCCATAATGACAATAGACATCTTCTTATACTCAGGTAGGTAAAAGTTTCATTATTATTTACCAATCCATAAAGTTTCATTTCTATGTTAGTTAGGTTTTCACTCCCAACCACTGCCCTACCCTGTCTGCAGGAAATTACAACAATCTGATATTATACCAGCACTCGGGAGGCAGAGGCAGGCGGATCTCTGTGAGTTCGAGACCAGCCTGGTCTACAGAGCTGGTTCCAGGACAGGCTCCAAAACCACAGAGAAACCCTGTCTCAAAAAAAAAACCAATCTGATATTATAGACAAATTAATATATATGCTGGAATGTATTAGAATAGAACCAGAGTTTAGAGACATCTGGCCTTCATTCATCTTGAATATATGTTTAAATTTATCTATTTTGTTGCCTATGATAATTGTTCATTCTTAATATTAAATGGTGTAGCAATGTATAGCTACACAGAAAATTTTATAATTTATTTTTATTTTATATGTATATATGTTTGCCTACATATAGGTATGAAGAGCACATGCATGCCTGGTGCCCATGGATGCAAAGAGAGGGTATTGGATCCCTTGGCACTGGAGTTACAGTTGGGAGCTGCCATGACAGTCTTGGGAAATGAGTCATTTACCTGTAGCCTGTTGTTTTGGTTGTTTTCAATTTCAGTGTCTTTTATATAAAGCTGGTGTGAACTGAAATAAATAAGTCATTAAAAGAAAATATGTCCTCTTCCTCCAGGTTATATATTTGGGAATGTGATGGTCAGATGACAATTAACATATGAAGACATTGGGAAATACTTTTCCAAGTCTCTGTCCTGTTTTCCATGGCCACCAGCAGTGGGTACGAGAGTTTCATCCTCCACAACCTGCCAGGTCTTTGTATGACAAGTCTTTATTTCTGAGTATTTTATGGGTGTGTCAAGAGTCCCCTCAGAGTCACCTGTCTCTCTTCCCTAAGTGTTAAGCATGTTGCGGCTGTATGTTTCTCTTAGTGGAGCATCTACTCACCCTTCTGGCCAACTTTTATTTTCTGAAATGTCTATTTTCTTACTGGCTCTTTTTGAGGTTTGGGAAATCTGGAAACAGTAAGACTGTCACCTGATACACAAGTTCCCACATTCATTTTCCCAGGCAGGAAAAATATGTTACTAACATATATTTGGAAGAGTGGACATTTTCTCACTTTATGGAGTTCTTAACAATCCAGTTGTTCATTTAATGAAAGGAGGTTTGTTATATCTAAGAAGTTAGTCTGTAATTCATTCGTTTTCTCCTACACGATTCATGTTTAGGTTGTATTCTTTTCAAAAAAATATTTATTTATTTATTTATTATGTATACAATATTCTTTGTGCATGTCTGCAGGCCAGAAGAGGGCACCAGACCTCTTTACAGATGGTTGTGAGCCACCATGTGGTTGCCAGGAATTGAACTCAGGACCTTTGGAAGAGCTCTTGACCACTGAGCCATCTCTCCAGGCTCTAGGTTGTATTCTTGATCAATTATCTTTTAGATTTCTTTTCACTATGTACTGAGTGTCTGCCTGTATGTCTGTGTGTACGATATGCGCATTTGAGTGCCGATGTCCACAGAGACTAGAAAAGACTGTCAGTTCCCCTGGCTCTGGAGTTATAGGCATCTGTCGGCCACCATATGGGTGCTGGAAACTGAAGTCAGGTCATCTGCAATAGCCAAAGGCACTCTTAACCTCGGAGATGTCTCTAGTCCTGTGTAGATCCTTTGTTTGTTTTGGGTTGACTTTTGTATCCTGAGATAAACAACTTGTCTATATTTATATTTGTGCATGGGGAGGTCTGCTTGTCCCAAAATAAGACAGAAGACAGGGCATTGAAGGGGATATGAGAGGGAATACATAGCCCCTCATCCTGTGATCATTTTTACATTTTTAGGACATTCAAGAAGCCTCAGCCCAACTGATAGAGCCAAAATTACCTGCAGATATGATGCAACTATTCCTAAAAACATCTCAAAGTAAGTTTAAAAATAAAAACAAACAAACTGGAGTCTGAAGATAGGGTTCATTCTTTTATATTTCTGAATGTCTTCCAGAGGATCCAGAGTTGATACCCAGCACCTACCCAATGGTTGACACTGTTTGTAACTCCAGTTCCAAGACATCTCAAACTCTGGTTCCCTCTGTGAGCAGTAGGTACTCACTCATGTGGTGCACAAACTTCCCTATGGAAAAACATTCAACAAATATAAATAAATTAATTAATTGTGCTTACTTAGGACAAGAATACTTGTAAAATCACATATTAACCTTAAATTTAATTTACTAAAAGAAATTTTAAAAGCGATAAGAACATTTCAAAAGATTATTTTTTTATTTTTGACTTTTTAATAACATATTGTATATTTTTCCTAATGGGAAAACAGAACCCATTTAAAGACTCAAAGTATTCTTACATGTAATTTTAAAACAATGTAACTCTGAGAGCCATAAAAATCTTCACATTTCTCACTCTTCTGCCCTCCTCACACACCCTTTGTACTGACACCTAATCTCAAGTGTCTCTCTCTAGTCCTCACTGAGGCCGTCATGCATGAGCCATCCTTATTCTGTGTGAGCTTCTATCCACAGGATTAATAAGCTCACAACCTTTGCTTCATCCTGGCTTTTTCTGAAAGTTTTTTCTGCAGCCTAGACCCAGTTTACCAGGGTCAAGGTCATCAAAGGACAGGGTGATCCTCAGGCTGAAGGTCACGATGCTGGGCTGCTCCTCCCTACCACTACAGGGAGTCCCAAAAAACCTCGGTGACCAGCATATTCCTGCTTCATTGAAGTGTCTTTGTGTCTTTGCTAAAGGTGTCCCCTCACACGTGTGTGACTCTTCTGTCCCCTTCATATTCTTTTCTGTCTTATTGTCATTACCAATCAGGCACGCTGTCTTCATTTCTCTAGGTTTATAAGGAGTCTGGAAGTCATGTGTTCATCCTCCAAGATTTTTCCTTTTGAAGGTGTTTTCATGCTCTGGTTTTTCATATTCACTATGAGTTTCAGGATAAGCCCATTAGTTTATGAAAAGTCTGTTAGATTTCTGTTGGTATTGCACTGGATCTATAGGTCTTTTTGAGGAGAACAGACACCTGTATCTTCCATTGCATGAAGGTGATTGCAGAGTGAATTCTAATTGGTCTTAATAATAAAATCTGGAGTCAGATATTACGAGGTTGAATCTATAAGATCAGAACAGCAAAGCAGCCAGCTTCCAGTTCTTTCCTCTATGAAATCCTCAGACCAAATGGAGCATCCTGTCTCTACAAGACCTCAGACTGAATGCCTGGATCTCCTATCTCCTCCCACCTTATATTCCTCTCTTCAACAAACCCTGGGAAGAAAAGTGTGAGCCACCAGTGCCTGACTCTCTTTCTGTTTTAGACTGGATCAATCTAGTGTATCCCAGGGTGGCCTTGAACTCGCAGAGATCCATTTGCCTGTACCTCCTGAGTGTTGGGAAAGGTGAGTTCCAACACTGCCTGTCCTCTCTGGCTAACTAGTGGCTATCTGCACACACTGATTCTCAGGCAAGCTTTATTGTCATAGGACAAACAAAATATCACCACAGTCGACGAATCTATACATCTTTACTCTCAGCAATGATTTGTCCCATTCAGTGTCTAGGCACAACAGAGAAGCGGGCAGAGTTTTTCTAATTATTTCATATTTCCTGATGCTATCTCCAGTGACAGGGATTTTAAATTACAGCTTCCACACATTTCACTGTGGTCAAATGTCTGTGGGTAGATTTTAACAAAAGCTCTCTTTTAGGTTGAAATGTCAGGTTTCTTTCTCTATGATGAAAATGTCTTTGAAAACATATATTTGCTTATGTTTCAATTTCAGTATTTTGAAGTTGCAAGTTAATTATGAGAAAAGAAACAAATGTCCAACACCCAGTTTGGGGGAAATTTTCTAAGGCAGCCACAGGTCTAATGTTTGCCCAAATGGAATCTTTGGAATCATAGAGATACTCCTTCACCTCCCAGCCAGCTCCATCAGGTAGGTGTTGAGATCACAGTGGAGAGAAAGAAGGGGATACATGTGAAGAGTTAGGTATGTATGTGTAACTCCAGAAAGATTTGTATTATGTAGAATAAGTAGGTAACTTTTTTCAAAATATCTAATAATATTTTTGCCAACACAAAAGGGTCAAGGTTAGTACTCGTGTGTTTTCCCTCTTGTTTTCCCATCCAGTCATGCAGATTTTAGCAGTGTCTGCTGTAGACTGTTTACAGAGGGGGTGTTTTATGGATGGGTCTTGCCATATGGATTATTACCATGACGCCTGCTAAGTGTTGCTCTGATACCTACTTCCCTGTGCAGTTACTAGTATACAAGCATTGCTTGTCTTTGAGTAAAGTTTCCCTTTTATCTTTTGTTTATTAATGGATTTACTCATGCGTTTGTGTCCACTCAGAAACACCCATTTTTTAAAGGAGTACCACTTTGTCATCATTATATACTGTGATGCTTAAATTATCCCATAACATGCCCGTGCAAGGACACACATTCAAGTGGACCTGCTCTTCACTTGTTATCTGTCTAGAATTCTGGATTATCTGACCACCCCCAGAAGACAGTAATCACCAAATGCTAGCTGTCAGTGACACTTTGTCTCCTCTTTCTGTCAATATCAGGTCTCTTCTATGATAAGAACAACAGGAAGGCAGAGAGAACACGCAGAAGGTTGACAAGAAGCTGACATGAGCCCTTGTTTCCAGTATGTGAGTCATCAGTGCCACCAGTGTGAGTGTGTGTGTGTGTGTGTGTGTGTGTGTGTGTGTGTGTGTGTGTGTGATGTGTACATGGGTGTGTATAGGAAGGGTCTGTGAGATGAACAAAGAAGAGGAAGATGTCACTGCACATCTTTGACTTGACTGGATGCAGACAGACTACTCCATCCCTATATTCAGTACAGTAGAGTGCATGAGCGTTCTCATCGCCTTCTTCCCCTCCCCATGAGATTTCTCTCCCCTTACTCTGCCTTCTAGTAGAACAGGGGAGAAAACAGTGAACTCTCCATGCAAAACCAGCTCCTGGAGAAGAACCAAGTGTGGTGTGGTCTTGTCAGCCTGTTACCTGAGCAAGAGTGACAAGATCATGTGGGACTCACCAGGTGAGTCATTTCCTTTTCTCTTCCCATCCATGTGACCTGCAGCGGATCTGTGATGCCTTGTAGGAACACATCCTGTTGCAGCAGGGTAGCAGCAAGAGCAGCACACTGTGGAACAATGGCATTCATAGACTCCCCAGATGACAGAAGTCTGCATGGGTTCCTTTAAATGACCAGGACTGAAATGGAAGCCATCCCTTCAGACCATTTCCTGAATGGGTCATGCATTTCTGCATCACATTTGCAGGGAGTGCTTATTAAAATGGTAGAAATCTGGGTCCACACTAGACACCGAATCAAACCCTGTGAAGTGTGGTGTGGCATAGCCACTTCTTTCTGATGGCTGTCCACGTTAAAAAGTATTGCTACTGTGTTTGTTATTCTGTCTTCTAGGATATGGAGTCACAGACTGCTTAATTCCATACCGTGTTCTCTTGCTACTCCCGTAAATACCAGTGTGTTACATGGCATGTCAAATACGCATCAATTCCTTCATATATATTTATCCAGATATTCACATACTGGCCTCTTTTGTGAGCACCTTGTTCCTGCACTGTGAAGACTAGCACGGGTTCCTGTATTTTGTGTTAGATAGGCAAACTGTCAGTAAGCAGAAGAAATCAGTAATCAGAGCAATTCCATGTATTATTGGCGCTTTAAAGATCATAAAGGGGACAGGAAATAGTTGTGATGGAGATTGTGGTACGTGATGTTACCCCCTAAAGTTTTCAGAAGTTAGCATGTGATCTGAGTCCTGAATGGCAAAAAGAAGCAAGGCCATGCATAAGCCATGTTATGGGCGTGCTTGCCCCCATGGAGAACAGTGGATCTAAGAGCAGGGGACAAGGCCAGTGGCCAGAGCCTTGAAGACAATGTGGACACTGCTTGGGGATAGGGTAGAAAGGAAGATGTGTGTCGTTTTCAGCTGACTATGACATTTGGATTATATGATCAGTGTGGAAGGTGAGTTATGGAATTGACATGATTTGATTCCTTTTGGTGGAAGGTGACTTGGCACTGCACAGAGAAAGGCCTGGGGAGGGCGGGATGAGGGAGTGTGTGGAGACAGTGGAGATGGTTCAGAAGACAGGGGAGGGATGGAAGTGGATTGAAAGAGGGATGAAGCCATGCTGCAGTGATCAGCGTGAGAGCTGCCCTGTGCAGCCTTGTCTGGGAGAAGGCAGATAGCACCTGTATGCGCTGTGCATTTTCCTTGTGGAGACGTTGCTCTAACATCTCTGGATTTGTCTGACCACTTGGAGACACAGTGCTTCCGTTTACTGACAT